TCCAAGTACCCTCATATTCAAGGTGCAAAAACACACTCACATGCTCATCTTAACTAACGGTGCTGTTATGAAATCTGAGCACATATTTATCAAATCATGTTCTTGCTTTATGTGCATCCAGACCAGGTCCAGGAGGAACTGAGCAGGGTGGTTGGAAGCCGTCGGGTACAAGTAGAGGACAGGAAGAACCTGCCTTACACTGATGCTGTCATCCACGAGTCGCAGAGACTTGCCAACATCCTCCCCATGGCCATTCCTCACAAAACCAGCCGAGACGTCACGTTCCAGGGCTACTTCATCAAAGAGGTCAGAGGACTGTTCAAATCAAAACCAACTGTATTAATCCCACCATAGGCAATTAGTTTTTGGGGTCAGCTTGTACAGTATAAAACATACATGACACATAAAAATGACATAAGTGACACTGGGGGGTGGGGAGACCTGCAGAGACCCTAAGGGCAGCAAAGTCAATTTGTATTTGCATCAAATTCGAGTTGATCATCAAAAACGTACCCAAGTATTCACATGATTCAACAATATCTACACTTTCCTTGTGTATAATACATTTCTTTGCTGCATTTTTACTCCATCTAATATCAAACTATTGTGTTTATTTTGCTTTAGAAACATTCAAGTCTAGGAAATAAAATCAGTTAGGGCTTTGCCATGGTTGGATTGTGAACCCTGAAGAAGTAACAGTAGTGCAGTGTCATCAGAAAATTTAACCAGATAGCTTTCGTCCCGGGGGCCCCTTCATAGCTTAGTGTACATACTAGTAGAGGTGAGAGGTCACACCTTTCTGGCGAACCTGTAGAAGTGACTGTGGTGTCTGAAAACAATACTGTTTACAAAAACACTCTACTTGCTATTAGTCAAGAAATCCAGAATCAATAGTACAAACTGATGAGACAAGTTAACCCCACAAGGCAACCTTTCAAAAGAAGATGTGGCTGGCGTGTATTAAATGTTGATGAGAAGTCTGGTGTGGGCTTGTGGCTTCTCAAGATGTCTATAAAGATTCAATATAAACAGCTTTGAATCCTCTACTCCCCTGCCTGACAGCCAAACTGCAATAGATCAAGTTTTCCATCAGCATTTGTGAAGATAAGATTTTTCACAATTTTCTCTGTTATGTTCCTCTCTGTAAGCTCGTTGTTTTAAAACTTAATGCTATATCCCACCTTCTTCTTTTTTTGCTCTCAGGGGACTACAGTGTTTCCTCTTCTTACTTCTGTCCTGTATGATGAGAGTGAATGGCAGAGCCCACACACTTTCAACCCTTCACATTTCCTGGATAAAGATGGTAAATTTATCAGGAGAGATGCCTTCATGCCCTTTTCTGCAGGTAAAACAGCTTTATTTGTCTTTTGTTCTTAATGGACCACACATGTTAAGTTGCACACCATGATCAACTTGGCTGCAAACTCTTTGTTCTTGCAGGTCGTAGGATGTGTCTCGGAGAGGGTCTGGCCAGAATGGAGCTCTTCCTCTTCTTCACCTCCCTTCTCCAGTGCTTCCGCTTCACTCCTCCGCCTGGAGTCACTGAGGAAGAACTGGATCTGACACCAGTTGTGGGCCTCACCCTCGCTCCTTCACCTCAAAAACTTTGTGCTGTCAGTCGCCACTGAAGAAGAGAACAGGGACTGATGATTGATTATTGTTGTATTTCTACAGTATGCTGCAGTAAGAATAAAAACTAATACATTGCTTCTTGTAGTCATTAGCCGCTCACAGGAGGAGATGTTGTGTCGAGACTTCCCCATTTAGCAGCAAATCAAATGCACAATGATGGCATCATGCAGGAGCAGATTTAAGATTTCCAGGTGAGCTGGCTGTATGTTACAAAACACAACACAGGACAGTTAAACTATCCAAACTTCTCTTGCTGACACTAAAAAGTTGTTTGATTGTAAACAAAGCAAATGTTAAATGGTGAACTGAGAAGGACTTGCATTCTTGCCTGGACAGGGTTTGGGCTTGTTCCATGGCAATTTGTAGTTCAGATCAGACTAAATTTACTCACCTTTATAAACAGGAGATGATTTAGAATTTGCATATTCTTTTTTTCTCCACTTTCTTCTTGAAACTCCATGGCTTCATTTTCCAGATCACACCAACTGAAAAGATAAGAAAGGTAGGATTAGTTTGATGTGTGAAGTGGTTGGTGAAGACTTTCTGAAAGGAGACACAGACCAGAGGAGTAGTGCTGTTTGTTTAAGTACGGGAGTGGACCTATAATATGTGTGCACAAGTTGTGGCTTGAGAGCTATGTAAACACTGTTCCTACCTTGGCAAGTTCACATTCGCTAGTTAACAACAACCTGGAAAACAAAGTTTCTTCAATCATGCCCTTATCAGTAGAAGAGCATTTCAGAAAGCAATACATGCTTTTATATGTAACTCATTTTATTCAGGATTAAGCAAAAAACCATCTCAAGAAAATGCAGCTGTTTTGCTTTTAATAGATACTGAAGTTCAAATGTTCAACCAGTGTTTAATGAAAGCTGAACCTGCCCCAGTAGCTGCTGATACAGTTCTATACAAGAATCATTGTGGCTGTTCTTGTCATGATTCTGTCCCGTCATTTCGGTTTCCATGCTTTTATTTTGACTTTATTTCCTGTTTCAGTTTCACCTTAGTTGCAGACTTTTTACTTTAATCACCGGTTATTGTTTACACCTGTTTTCACCCCGTTATAGGCAGCATTCCCTCCACCGGAAAGCTGCCAGATCGTACTAAACACATGTTAGGACCTTCCAGTTGGCTTCAGCCCTGTTAAACACTGAA